TTTTAAAAAGCCAGATACAAAGAAGGCCCACAGTGTATGATTTTTCTTATATAAAATTCTATTACAGACCAAATTAATCTATAGTGGGACAACTCCAGAAACTTTCTGGGGTAATAGAAGTTTGGGGCTGGGCTGGGGATTTAGCTCAGTGGTACTGCACCTGCCTTGCAAGCACAAGGTCCTGAATTCGATCCCTGCACAAAAAAAAAAAGTTTGTGGTATTTCAACAGGGTATGTCTATTTATCAAAACTATACATTTAAGATACTGTGTTTAAGTATATGTAAATTTTACCTAAAGAAAATAGAATGTAAAATCTCCATTTGGATATGGGGAAAAGATGGAGGTGCAGACAAACAAGAATGGCAGGATGCTGATAATTGCTAAAACTGGGTGATGGGTACATTAGATGAGGTTACATTAGACTATTCTGATAACTTTGTCTATGTTTGAGATTTTTAAAAAATAATGTCTTAAGTTTTTCATTTTTTTAATATGTTTGAGCAATGTGTTTTGTCTGTGATTCCCAGCTCTAATCAATCTTTGTGATGAACTGACTAGCTCCCCACTCCAGCCTGGGTCCCTGCCACACAGATGCCCATGTGTTGTCCCCCAAAGGTCTAAACTGTACCTATGGCCTAGGTGAACTTCTAAAACCACAGCCATGACCAGGCACCACTGCTCTATGCCACACATTCTAACCCTTACAAATACTTGTTTTATAATTACTGCCCCATTAAAGTGTTAACTGGAAGGTAAAGCAATAGAAAAAAATAAAAATTTTGTTATCAGACAGAGCTGAAGTCAAATATCAGGTCTGACATTTTAATCTTCCTAATATTTAATGTCCTTGAGCTTCCATATCCTTTCTTCTAAAAGGAGGGAAAAGATTATGCAAAGACTGCTGTTGTCTCCCTTTATCTGTTAGCCCCTTTTCACAGAAACCTACTACTGTATTTCTACAGGGCAAACAGCCCAACAGCGTCTCGCAGACCACTAGAGGGCAGTAGTGAGTCGGGCCCACTTGACACAAGCAGGTTGGATAAACTACTGTGAGTTGCATTATTTGGCCTCAGAAGCAGGCAGAGCTGATTACAATCATGCCAAGCACCTAGTGTCAAGAGTCTGAAATGGGGCACTCATCCCCAAGTATAAGAAGAGGATAACAGCGCAGGGACCTGTCCCATTGTCCTGCTCCTGGTGCTGTCCCTGGGACTTTTCAGGTCTGGCATCTTAGGAGATCACATGGATGGAAGGATGGAAGGATGCAAAATGAACCATCCATCACAATGGCCAACTTTGGATGCTATTCCCCAGATCCCAAGACCTCCACAGGTAAGAGAGTCAGGAAGGAAGTAAGAGCCCAGTCCTCTTCCATGGAAATACAAGTGAAATGTGGCAGGGCTTCCTGCTCCTGAATGATTCCCAGACCATGGTAAACTTAGAAAGCAGTCAGTGTTGAAATCCAGACATATAAGTTTAGCTGCACAAGTCTGATTCTTCCTCTTGTCTCCATGGTACATGAAAGTGAAGAATATAGAGTTATGTTAGCCAGCCTTCCATCACTATGACAAAATACCTAAGATAATCAACTTGTCTCATAGTTTTAGAGGTCTATGATCAATTGGCCCCATTGCTTTGGGCCTCTGTTAAGCCATATATCATTGTAGGAGCATGTGGTAACAGAGGAAGCCGCTCACCTCATGGCCTCTAGGAAGCAAAAAGAGAGAGAGCAAGAGACCAGCATCCCACAATCCTCTTCAAGGTCATGTCCCCCATTGACATTACTTCCTGCCTCTAGTCCTCACCTTTTAAATGCTCCACAGGCTCAAGACCAAGCCTTTAACATATATGCCTTTGCGATACTTGCCCAAAACTTAGCAGAGGTATAGTGTTCGTCTTTTACCATGAATTCTGATGAAATAGCAATAACTAGACTGGTAGGTCTCCAGTGTCTTGTTTCAGCCAAGGTATGTAGGAAGGAGATGATCTAAAACAAAATCCCAGCATTTCTCCTCTCTGGTTAGGTGAATCTGTGCAAATTACTTAACTTTTTGTGCCTTAGTTTCCTCATCTATAAAATGAAGGCAATAATAATAGTACCTACTTCTTAAATTATCATAAAGCTTTGCATAGCCCTATGACTCATGTACACCAAATATTAGCTACTATCTAGTACTAGAAGTGACAGGGATAAAATCTTAAAATACAGAGCTTTCATATCCCTGTGTCATAAGCCAGTCCACCATATTGGGGTCTTCACTATCAAAAAATTCTCTTAAGGGCCAGGGATTTAGCTCAGTGACACCATACCTGCCTCATAAGCACAAGGTCCTGAGTTCGATCCCTGGTACCAAAAAAAAAAATTCTCTTAAAAGACTCTCAGAAAGCTTGTTGGACAACAACTCAAATCAACTGAGGATTAATACATTGGAAAAGCTCCTGTGTCACACAACTAAAAATTATCTTTAAATATTTGTCCTAGGTTACATACACTAAAGCATATTGTTTTTCTCACCTAAGCTTCCTAAAATTTGGAAGCTCTTCCTCAAAGGAAAATTGACCAAAATTTGACACAAAGGTTTCCAGAAGCACAGTATCTACACTTTCATAATTGCTTCATGACTAGTTGTACTCACCGTTTTTTACTGTTGTAACAAAATACCCAAGAATAACAACTTAAAACAGGAAAAGATTGATTTGGGCTCATAGTTTCAGTCCATTTGCTTTTGTTGCTTCAAGGGCTGTAGTGCAGTAGAAACACAGAAGAAGGGCATGGGAGAGTGATGCTGACTACCTCATGCTTCAGAGCAAGAGAGGAAGAACCAGAGAGAGAGGAAGGGTCTGGGACAAAATATACCTTCAAAGCCACACCTCCTGTGACCTCCTTCGTTCAATTAGGCCCCTCTTCCCTAATAAGCCCACTGGGCTATGAACTCAGTGGACCAATCCATTGATGAAGTTAGACCCTTTCTGGTCTAACCACTTCCCCAAATCCCCAACTCTAAACACTGCTGCATTGGGTACTGAGCCCCTAAACACATAAGCATCGGAGGGACCTATTATATCTATAACATAACACTAGTTGAAAGGTCAAGTAATTCATCGTAATTGATATATGCTAAGATAAACACTTATACTGATTAGTGTGACATGACGTATTGCCCAAAGACTTCCAGGGCAGTATCGTCTGTTCCATTTTTTATACTTGTCCCACTGAGAAGGTTTTGTGTCCCCTCCCACTGAATCTGGAAGGGCTTGGGCCAGATATGATGTGACTTGCAAGGCTGACATACAAGACACTGAAGCACTCTCCTGGTTTTCCCTGGGATGCTGGTGCTCAGAACCACAGCCACAATGCTGTGGTGAAAACCAAGCATCCACTTAGAGGAGGGCCCGGTCTCTGAGCCTCTCTCCACTTTGCCTCTTTAACTTTTTTTCTTTCTGAGTTCTCCTACTTCACTCTCTTATGCAATTAATTACTTTGGGTTCCAGGAACAATGAGTCTGACCAATAAACATTTTTATGACAAGGAAATAAAACCCTAAGTAACAGGGAGCCTCACAGACAGATCACCCCATGGTGAGATGGCCCCCCTCAGTGGAGCAGCTAACCCAGGAGCAAAACTTAGGCTGCCCCCTAAGAAGGAGCAATTGTCTTATTATAGATAGCTAAGTTAGACAGAAATATCATAGGCAGTCAGGGAGGGCTGGGTCCTCGATAGTCAGTGCAAAAGATAAAAACACATTAAATCATTCCTGGAGATGCATCTGTTGGAGGCCAGGACTCAAGATAAAGATGAAATGACCACGCATGCATACTTCCCCAAAGGACAAGATAAACGATAACAGCTGTCCTATTGAAGTCTAGATAGACATCAGTCACCCTGGTGGTAACCAAGACCTCCAGACTCATTGTTTCCTAGAAAAAGTCTTTTGTTCTTGCCATTTATACTTGCTATGTGACTTGTTTCCCCATTGGATCATTATTACCTAAGGGACTGTACTTTTAACCTTATTGATTGATTATAAGTGTAACCCACGTTGTATCCACATGGTTTTGCTCTATAAAACTGCCCTGTACGGGCCGGGGATTTAGCTCAGTGGCTTGGCCGCCTGCCTCAAAAGCGCAAGGTCCCAAGTTCGATCCCTGGTACAAAAATAAATCAATCAATAAATAAATAAAGTTTAAAAAATGGGATATGAAGAATAGTTAATCAAAAAAAAAAACTGCGCTGTAAAGTGGGGTCCTTGGCTACCCATTTAGGTCACCTCCTGCCTCTCAGGAGCTAAAATCTCTCAATAAATGTTTCCTACTCTTAACCTCTGCTGTTCCTAGAATTCATTCTTCAGTTTTAGAGAACACGAACTCAGAATATCAGACATCTAACAGGTTGGGAATTATATCATTTAGAGGCCCTATTTCATCTTCTGTATCATCCCTGTATTAGTCTCAGGATGGGATTGAATTGCCCTCTGAAGCTATGATAACTTCCTGGAGCTTCACAGAACCAGTCCTAAAATAATGATCAACCAGACCATGGCCTGACCAAGATTACCTGCTCTCCCAGCTCTGCAAACCCCCCAACCCTTGCCTTTGTTCCCCTTTTCTATCAAACCTCTCAGAGATCCCATCAGCCCTTCAAAGACAGACCTTAGGTCACTAGGCCTTTTTTTCTGTTCTTCCTAGGGTGGCCACACAAATTAAAGCTCCTTTCCCCCATTCATCACTGTTGTCTCTGATTGGCATCTCAGAACCATTGTTCAAGCCTAGCCTATTGGGACTCCTGAAGCCAAGGCCTTCATCCCAACACTCCAGCAGCCTCCAACTGGGTCCCAGCCCACGACCCACTCGGTTGTGGGACACGTAAGTACACAGTCCATCAGAAGATCCTGGGCCCAGAGCTGAACACAATGCCCATGTACCCTAGTCCCCCAAGAGACTTGCAATACCTCATTTCTACAGCTATCAATGTCCTCATTAGGGCAATTGTTTTTAAACTGTTTTTAGTAACATATTTTATTTCTACAAACACAGTATCACACAGAAAACCAAGTACAAATAAGACTGATGCCACATTTATTGCAATGGTGGGAAGATTCAGTTTCCTGGATCTGCAAGGAACCCTGTTTGAGAATCTGTGCATGCTCTAGGACAGTGATGGTGAACTTACAGCTCTTGTGCTGCAGGGGGCACAAAGAGCCCTTTCTATTGGCATGTTCGCCCAGCAGCCGAGCATCAGTTAACAGTTGTTTTTTCCGAACTAAAACCTCAGTATTCAGGTTTAATTGCAGTGTCAGCACTTTGCAATAAATAAAAGGTTTGCCGTCACTGCTGTAGGACTAATACAGGTAGCACAACTGAGGCTGGGAGACCATTTCCCTTCTATCCACCTGAATTTGGACAATACCCTAGGGCCAATCCTGCTTCCACTGTCCTAAGAAAAACAGAAATAAAAATAACAAAGACCCAGGAAATCTACAAAGTTCCAGGCAGGCCAGAGTACAGATGTGTTAGATCCAGTGGCAATCTTTTCCCCACTGGAACTTCATGAAAGGTTCATACACAGGGACTACATATCAGGTATGTGACTAAAACAGTGCAAATTCTGGGAAAGTCATGTGTACTAAGGTGCCCTTGAAATGATTCGGCATCCTGTGGATCATTTCTGTCAATCACATCCAGAGAGATGCAATGAGAGGCACCTGGGGTGGGGTGCACATCTTTTAAATCCTAAAGCCTGATTTTTCTTCACTCTTCTTATCTTCACCCACCTCCTTCTCAGCACTATTTTTCACATTCATGCCACCTTTCTGTTTCTACTGACACAAACCTGAGCACACCTTCCTTTTGTGACAGCCAACGTGACTCTATTTGTGAAAAGTCGAGTGATTCCAGGTGGTCTCTCCCTTGGGAGTCCCCTCCGTTAACGCATGACAGACCACCGAACGCTGTTTGATACAGCAATCTGCAACTATATGTTATCTACACCTTCCCATTTGGTAGAGCAGTCTGCAGCCATATGTAAACAGGATACTCCACACCTGTGTGATATTTTGTTTCAGCTAAACTGTGTGAAACTTCCCCTGACCCCCACTGACTTAGCAAAATTCTGCTCCTGTGAAATTCCACTTGTGCTCCCCCTCTTCCTGAGCCCTCCCCAGTTAGAAGAGCCACCTAAAAGAACCCCGCAAGCTGCTTTTCCTCCTTGAGTTTTCCAGGTGAGAGCCACTCTCACACTCAATTTGGCTCAGAGTGGTGACGATTCCTATAATCTCTCACAATTAAGTATAACACTGTTAACTTCAATAAATGTGGCTGCTTTTTCTTGTGGCATCAGGTGTACACTTGCAGTTCTTTGCTTGCCATACTCAGGAACCTGGAATCTATCTTTTGGTTGTGGCTCAGTGGTTCTGTGCCTGACAGGCAAGTGCAAGGTCCCGAGTTTGATTACTGATACTGCAAAAAAAAAAAAAAAGATTCCAAGAATCAAAGGTAGAATTCTGCTTACCACATTTATTTAATTAGTTCCCTATAGAAATTCTTCCAATGCTATCCATAGACATCCTCCTCTCCCCACACGTGGAACCTTAAAACCCACTATATAACACATGTTTATACACCACAGCTTTCCCAAAGATCTTCAGACTGTAGCAAAGGCACAAAAAATGTGTATTTAAAGTCCTGTGTCTGTGACACTGGCTACTTCCAGCTTTAGTGAGGTGAAGGGTTCTGGTCAGCTCCAGTTGTTGTTAGCCTAAGAAGAATGCCAGGAAGAGAGGCAATGCTAGCCTCCAGCATCCCACCTGCATTAGTTGACATTGAGGATCTGCTTTACATCATCTAGTTGGGCTTCAGGAGGAGCCTTTGGAAGGCCTGGCTGTAGAAGATCCAAGACGGGATCTGGTTCAGAAATCGTCCCTTTAACAGAAGAAAAGTTGAGAGAAGAAATTGTAACTCAAACACACCAGTTTATTCATGATCTATAAGAATTATTATTTATTGAAGTCCCAAAATCCTTGAAGTACATAGTTGCTGAAGTTTAAGGATGCTGTGACCCTTTCTCAGCACCAATTCAGACCTTTTAAACTCCTTTTGCACACCCTGGTAGGATCATCTCTAAAGAAATTTAAATCAAGAAAACTTCATCTATGCTACCTGCTCCCTCACTATCTTTCTCTTAATGAGCATCTGCTTTTCCTGCTGCTCAGTTTCCAAGGTGTCTTCATGCTCCTTCTGCCAAGGTTCTATTCAAATAAGATTCCAGAACTGGATAAAGAAGATGTGGGTTTTTTTAAAAAATGGAGTACTACTCAGCCATAAAGAATGAGAAACTAGAGACATTTATAGCTAAATGGATGCATATTGAGGCAATACTCTTAAGTGAAATAAATAGGACACACGTGTAAATACCGAATAGTTTTTCTAGTGTGAGAAACTGAAAGTGTAAATAAGGATGAAAATGATTAAAATGAATAATTGATAATTTGAAATAAGAAAAGATTCAAGGGTTTGGGGATGGTGGAAGGGAAAGGGGAAAGGGAAGAAGGGAAAGAAAAAAGTTATGAGAAAAAAAATGGAATCAAACTCTGTGTAGATAGGGAAGGGTGGAGGGGGTGAAGGGTGCACAGGTAATGGGAGGAAAAACAAAAACTAAGATGCATCATGTTCTGGTACAAACACCCAATGATAAATGTAAATGTATTTTATACCTAAAATGTACCAATAAATATATATATATTTTTTAAAAAATAATAATAATAAGATTCCAGGAGAGAATCAGAAAGATTTTCCATCACCTGGCCCAGTGAGGCATAGTGGGCCTAAGCCATTTATGTGAATGTATGAATGAGCTAATGAAAGAAAGTCATTCATAGAAAAATATGATGTGGCCATATGGAACATTCACTCTTACAAGGAGTAGAAGCCTTAAGTTCTGGCATGAAGTTCTCATGAAATGCATCTCAGGCTGTAGGTACAGACTTGGTGTCCTAAGAGTTCCACACTCCAGAAACCATCATTTCAGCATACCATATCCTGATTAATCCCACATTCCTTCATCCACCTGCTCCCTAGAAAACAGGATTCTGGCCAGAGAATTTGAGCTCCTCGGAGACCAATTCTTATTTCTTCAGCTAGCTCAGATCCTCTGAGATACTCTAAGGCAAGAGATTGGAGACAGCTTCTGGGAACCACAGTTAAACTCTTCTCCTACTAGCTGTGCCAATGAACCAACACAACTTCTTCGTCTAGAACTTTCTTTCAAGCAGAGTTTGTTATTTCACAGTAAAATCAAGCTTTTTCATTAGCTTTTGTCTTGAACTAAATGTTTTGTCTCAGTGAGGTTAGCCACAAAAAATAAATGTAAATTCCAGCCCCCTTTAAAATGTTGTAAAAAAAGAGTCCCTCTTTCTATCTCCTTCTTTGTCTAAAATGTCCTAGCCAAAAGGGCCATGTAGAAGGAACCAGGAAAGGCTGTGACATTAGACAGAAGAACTATAGATTGAAATCTCAGCTTTACCATTGCCAGATGGGTGGCCTTGATCCAGCTGATTCACTTCTGAGCTTCAGTTTTCTTGATTGTAAACTAAACTGTTTCTCTTTAGGAAACTAAAACCTAACCTTGGAAGATTTTTAGAATGTTTAAGCAAGGAAGCATATACAAAGCCTCCACATACAACATGGTCTCCACAGGCAGAAACTCAATTCTTCCCCACTCCTGGCCCCATACCTCCCTTGGGTAGATGGCATGCTATCATTATCTTGCCTCTTTAGAATAGAAGGGTTGCTGTTAACCAGTTAATTTTTTGTGGTTATCCATCACTATAGATTCAATGATTTTTTCTAAATCCTATCAAGTTCCAAATTGGTTTTAATGATTAACTAATTTTCCTTTCTCTCCTGCTTCTCTTGGTTTTTCTCCTAGCCTGCTGTTGCCATCTGTTTGACTGAAGAGATTGCAATTTATTACCTAAAAAAATCAAAGAGAAAGTTTAAGAAAACATTCAACTTTTGACATGGTAGAATTAGATCATGGAGCAAAACATGTAGCAATAATCTGGTAAGCCAGGCTATTGTCCCAAGAACACATTTTCCAGATGTGATAGATTCCATTTAGGACCTCAATATCCTAGAGGACTAGGTCACAGAGTTCTCCGGAAGGCGAAGATAGCTACTCACAGGAAGTGTCTAGCCCTGGACATAGACAGACTGAGACAATGTGTGCAGAAAGTCTCTACTTTTTCTGCACTGGAAGTGGTGGGTTATGGAAAGAGAAAAAGAAGTCATGATTACCAGGATTTCATGGGCAAGAGAACCACAGGCTTCATCTCCAGCCATGACATAATTCAGTGATTCTTTAACAAATCCATCAGCACTCTTGATCATCATGCTGGTATCTAGATGATTTGTCATTGAGGTTGAAACAGCAAATGGTGTCAGCACCTACAATAAAAAATACAAACCATGGCACAGAAGTGATCCATCCCAGGGAAGACATTGAGAAATTAGTACCCATTTTACCATCTTTCCATTTCCCTACTCTTTTCTTCCTGTAAAAATACCAGTGATCCTTGTTGTTGGTACCGAGGTGAGGATCAGAAAGTTTGATTTCTCAAGACGAGGGCTTAACCACACAGAATCAAGGACTCTGATCCCCTCCCTAGCACACAGGTGACTGAGAGGACAGGAGCTCTACCAGCAAATAGAAAGAGAGGACATTGAACTAGAGATGAAGTTCGGACAAACAACAAAAAAGTCAGCAATAATTATATCCCAAGTGTTCCATGGGATATACTTTTGCTAAAAATCACTGATATTTATCTGAAATTCAAATTTAACTGCATGTTCTATATTTAACCCTCTCTCCGAAGATTGCTTCTAATTCATATAACCAAAATTGGAGCAACTTAAGCACTTCAGATTCCCATTGTCTCCCCCCAGGTAAATGCCATGAGTGGCTCAAACTTCATAATCTTTCCTGTCATGGCAAGAAAAACAAACACCCATACACGGTTGAAAGTTCAATATTGTTTCAACCTGTGCTCTAACCACACCATGGCCTGGCATGAGGATTCTTAATCAGGTTTTATTATTTTATTCCCAGACACAGACTACTTGACTTCTTTAGAAAGACAAAAAGACCCATGCTAGTTTTCTTTGTTTTACTTTTCTTCATATCACCTTTGAAATCACATTGTTTTATAATTTAATCTAATCAATCCAACTGCATTGGTTCTTAGGGAAATTAATGCTGTGATTTAATGTACCTAACATTTTTCTTCCTAGGATCCCAAAGGGTTGCTCCTTGAGAAATGCCAGGAACATTCTCAATCCTAATTTTCAGATAGGGAAGTAATAAGTTTTTTCATTCTTACAGGAGTTTTTTTAAATGTACAAGTTAGAAACTCAAAAAATATGGTTTAAATGTATATAATAGTCATTAAATGTTCCTGATAATCCTGAAAAGTAAAGAGGTATTGTAAAACTCATTTATAAATGGGGAAACTGAGGTTCGCAGAGTTTAAGCACGCTGTCCAGGATGATTCAGATGACAAATGGCAGAGCTGAGATGAAATCTCACCCAAGTTCATGATACATATACCTTCATTAATTTAACAAATATTTAACAAATATTACTAAGCACCAATTATGTGAATTTTTGGAGAGGTCAATTGGCTTTTGAAAGATAAAGCTTGTTCACCTTGAGAACAACAGCTTCAAGGCTCCTGGGCACTGGGAGGGGCATCTTTCTCATATCTCCATCTCCTTCATACCCGTGTCCTCATGGAACCCACCACCTTGGCAGCTACAGCATCTCTGGTCCACAATGATCAACTAAGATCATGCTAGAGTGTCACATGGCTAGGAAGCAGGAGGTTAAAGGAGTACTTCATGCTCAGAAGTCACCAAGGATTTCTGGTTCTTTCTTCTTTTGGACACATGCTAGAGCTGCACTTCCTGAACCTCTGTGGTGAGTGTGACCGTGAGTACCATGTGTTATTTCTGGGTCAGAGCACTTAATTGCCAAAATGAGGTCCTCTAGAACTTCCACTACCTTTCCTCTGACATATTAAGTGACAATATCCTAATGGCAGCTGCTCCATCAGGCTGGGTGCCTGAGTCACTACAATGAGCTGTCTCCTGCCAGTCACAGTGAACATGTCTGGGTGGAACTGATTCAGCAGTGCAGGATAAGGGACCGTGGTACAGTGACATGGCAGTTATAATCACTCACTGTCTTGGTTATGCTCTCTCATTGCTGAGACAAAATACCCGACACCCAAAGTTAAAAGGATGAAAGATTTATTTGGCTCACAGTTTGTAGAGGTTTTGGTCCACAGCAGGCTGGCTCCAAGGCAGAGTGGCATGGCAGACAATCATCACAGAGGAGAAACAGTTAGGGCAGGCAGAAGGTAGCAAAGCAAGCAAGACAAGCCTCTTTCTGACCCTTATATTGTATCCAGGCTACCAGGATTAGGGCAGTGCCAAACCAATCAGTAGACTGATTTAGTAATCACCCACCCTTAATCCTAGCATTGCACTGTGAATCAATCACACAGTCTAGATTCAGCCACCTCTGAAAAAGCCACACCTATGACTACATGAGGCTTTTCGGGACATCTAGACACAAGCCATAACCCTACGTGGCTTCACAAACAATGGTTTGGGCCAAATCCCTACCATTAACACACACTTGACTATTTAACAAGCTGGTAGTTTATAGTAACAGCCACCTAAGATACTCCCACCTGGACATTTTCATTGAAAATAATTGTGTGTAGCAATGATTTTAAAGATATGCTATTGAGTGTGTCTTTTTAATCTATAATAGCATGCCATAAAACTTTGTCTCAGACAAAAAAAAACAAAACAATACAACACAACTCTTCTGTATACTGTTAATTCTGAATTTCAGAAACTGTGGGGCTCTTTGTGGCTGAATCAAGAACATATAAATCACTGACACTCTTCAGCCTATGCATGGCAATGACAACCCAGGTCTGTTTAGGTGGGGCCAGGTGATCTCCATACAGAGCATCCCTTCCCTCACTGCCCAAGAACCAGAGTGTAGGGGTCACAGAGCCACAGCCCCCTAGGGAAGACCCTCTTCCTCCCTTAGTTCCAACATACATCAAGTGCCCAGTTTTCTTTTGTTCCTTTCCTACAATTCTTCCCATATAATCCCATCTTCTGTATCTGACTCAAAGAGAAAAAAATGGCCAGACAAAATCCCAGTTTCTGTCCCGGAGCACCACTGGGTAGCAAGAGGATCTGCAGCACTTTGGAGGAACCACATCTCTGCCCTATTTCCTCTCTCAGCATCAAGGTACAGATGAAAGCAGCAGAAACCATAGCAGCAGGCAGGATCATGGCGGCTGCAGCTGCCAGGGCAACATCACAGGAACCCACAGATCATCACCCAACCTGTTTCTCTACTGGATGCACACACACAACCAGTCCTGCAGGAGGCAGTGGCACAGGTCCATGATGTCCCAAGTTCCCACTCCCAAGGACCCACACCTGTGCACCTCACCTGGATAATGATTCCTTTCTTTCTATACTCCACTTGCAGCGCCTTGGAAAATGTGCGCACAAAAACCTAGAGTGAGACAGAGAAACAGCTCAGGCCCCAGAGCCATCTGACTCAGAATTTCAAAGGACACCATAGAGATGCAGTCAACATGGAGGAGACATGGGTCAGAGAACAGTTTCTCTGTTTCAGTTATGCAGGATGGAGAGCTACTGTTTAGCACGGTGACTGTGTATTGTACACTTGGAAGTTGCTGAGAGTGTAGATCTTAAATGTTCTCACCACAAAAAATAAATGAAAATGTGAGGTCAAGGGTATGTTAATTAGTTTGATCTAATCATTCCACAATCTATACACAGATCACAACGTGAGACTGTACACCAGAAATATGTATACTTTTTATTTGTCAATTATACCTTAATAAAGCTGGGTAGAGGGAAAGAAAGTAGTGGAAAAGGCAACAGTTTGTCTTCATTCCCAGGTCTGGGCAAAGTACCCTGATTATCAGGAACATAATTTTAAAATAGGTCCATGCCTTAGGGCCACTGCCTGGTGATTAACTTACCAGGAAGCTCTTCCTTGTAAAGTACATGCTATTCCTGGGGCTGTTTTTATAACAAGCAAGGTTTTTTGTGGCAGGGTCTCCCTTTGTAGTTCAGGGTGGCCCTGAACTCACTACGTAGCCCAGTCTGGCCTCGAACTCACCATGATCCTCCTGCCTCAGCCTCTCAAGTGCTGGGATTATAGCATGTGCCACCACACGCAGCTCTACCTTTGTCTAATTTACATTCAGACCCACAATTGGCTAGTTCTGTCTCGTAAGATTGCCTCCAGCCCAGCCTGTCCGTCAACTAGCTGTGTGACCCAAAGGAAAATGCCACCCAGGAGAGACAAGAGGAAGAAGGAAGAAACTCAATGACTTATCACTCACCTTGGAAGCTGAGTAGAGGGAGAATAGAGGCCAAGGACGGAGGGCTACCCCTGAAGAAATGTTCAAGATGAGGCCTTTCCCTCTAAAAAGCAAAGAAGTAAAGTTTCCATTCATTTACTGCCCGGCCCCACCCTGGGTAGAAAGCCACCACAGGGTCTTGTGTACACCCTCACACTCTGCCTTCTCTCGGAATCCATGCTGCTAAGTGCTCTGTGACAAAGAACTGTGATGGAACCTCCTCTAAGTTCCTCAGGATGACACTGCACAGTGGTGTAGTTGGCAGTCATGTGATATTAAGGGCTTATTACTGGAAACAGAGGCTCTGATAGGACAAAGGTCTCCCCACCAGAATACAGATCCTGCCAGGACAAAAGTCTCCCTGCCAAAGTGCAGATGGCCATCTCAGTTCCAACAAGATTCCAGGGGGAAGGGGTCCTTCTGTTTTAAACGAGCAGCAAGTCCCTTGGACACACAAAGATGCCTCACAACAGGACAAATATCCCCATCTCAGGTGGAATGTGACAGTCCATCAGTTATTCACACAGAGGGCCTTACTTGTTTTTTTGAAATGCAGTATCTTTAATCCTTCCCAGTTAGATGTTTGGAAGGGAGGGGAGAGGTGAGGAACTGCAAATGTAAAACCTTTTATTACTCTAGAGAAGCTAAAACTATCCACCATTTGTTTTTAATGACTACCACCTGAGAAAAACCAGCTTCTACACTGAGACTGTAATAAAGTGGTATACATAAACATGAAATAAATGAAGAACCTGATAGGCTGGAGCATTCATTCTGACAAAGGCTGAAATTCATAGTAATAAAGATATGGTCTTCGTCTCTGGTCAACTTGCTTCTTTAATGCTCAACATGAGTTAATTTTTTATAAGTTAATATGTGCTGAAACTGCTCATTTCTTCTTCCCTCCAATGTGTATTACCCTTGACCTTCAAATACAGAATCTGTTTGAAGAGATGTCCTGTCCTAGAATGGAATGTTTTCTCCCCCATAAGCTCCATGTACTTTTATTCTTGTTGTTATCACTGGTTAAAGCAGCAGCTGTATGAGCCCTGTCCCCCAGGGGTCCCCTGCTCAGCTGATTGATAGGGCAGAAGGCTGTATTGCTCAACACTTTTTCAGAAATAGATCTTACCTTGATTCCATGTGTCTCAGAACCAGCTGTGTCATCTACAAGAGAAGGCCAAAGTTAAGCCCTGACCCGGGACCAAGGAGCAATGAGCGGGATGGGGGAAGGACACACTGGAGGAAGCCAGGGGAAGAGCTGAACCTTCTCAGGTGGCCTTGAAATTTTCCATCACTCATTAAAGGTCATTCTGGCAACCTAAGAGTGGGGATGGAACTCCATGAGACAATCTAGACAAACAGCAAATTATTCAGAGGGCTCTATTTTCTTCCCCCGAAAGTCTTCTTGGCAAATGAGGCCATTGTAAAGTTGTGGGAATTGGCTTATGGTCTTAGGATAAAGAGCATGATTCCCAAGGTACTCTCTATTTTGAACGACAGGCAAAAGTAGCCTGGCCAGCATATCCCTTATCTACAAGCAGGAACTAGGACCAGCAGAAGACCTAATGAAGATCAGGTGCCTCTCACACCCATCTCTTCATCTCAACAGTGGCAGCACACATAGCCTGCAAGGGGGTCTGGGACACAACTCTGGGGACAGAACATATGGCTACTCCTGTCCCTTGGAATTACAACCTCATTGTGGTGTCCTATCCCTTCCCAATCTGTTACCCTCAAGGTCTTTCCTGACAGTTCTGCAAGCTAGATATTCTATTTAGAGAGATTTTCACCAAATAATTACAAGGCATACATTTTAGAAACTGAGAAAGAGGCAGTTTCACAGACTGAAACGTGTCTAACACACACTGGACTGGAACTAAGCCTTGTCCTCGGGGCAGGTTTGAGATGGGGAGGGTCAAAATGGAAGAAGGAAGACAACAGATAAACTGATCTTCCCCTGTGCTGTCTAGGGGCATTACAGCAGCTTCTCAGTGCACTCACTCCCACCACTGCTCTCGTCCACAGGCCTGGCTCCATGCCCCCAGATCATGCTATTTCTGGGGGGTTCGGTGGGGCTCGGGTCTGCCTCTGAAACACAGGATTTAGAGGGAGGCAAGACAAGGATGAGGGACTAGACTGTGTCACTTTGTCCCTGCCTTTCCAGCTCCACTGGGGACATTCTCTGAGTCTTGTTGAGACACCAGTATGTCCTCATCTGGGCCTTGTAGGGTGCATGTTAGAGAGACAACACTGGGCAGGTAGTCCCCGTCTCAAAACTTCCATATTTAGTTTCATCCCACCTTCCTGTTGCCCTCAGACTCATTCCACCATCTCTGCCCTTGACAGAGAACGTGACTATTTCCAGATGGCATCTTTGAAGTAATTAAGTGACACTAGTCATGCTGCCAACCAGCAAGGCTCATTAGGGCAAGGCATATTTAGAGGGTAACCTTTCATTTCTTTTCTTTGTTGCTTAGGGAACTCAGAATCTATCAACAAACAAAACAATTCTTTTAACAAATCAAAGTGTTTCTCTGCTAAAGGCATCAGAGGGTTGTCAAATCCATTTGGGGAAACCCAAATGATCAAACAGCCCAAGACTGAAAGATCAATGTGTAAAATAATGGGAAAGATTTTAGTGGTAAGGCTGCAGACAACAGTTGGACATGTAAAACTTAAAAGTACATTAGCTTGGAGCTTTAAAAAGCATAAAAGGAATGTGTTTACTCAATAATAACTAAGCAGAATACTAAAAAATACCAGCCTGCTTATAGAAAACAACCAGTGGTGAAGATAATTGTTTTCAGCCTGACTTACCCGCCTGAAAATAATTTCTTTTTGGTCTGCACAGCTTACATCTCCCCTCCTGTCCTTCTGTTGACAGCAACCTGGTTTTCCTTTGAGAAGTCAGTCCTCCTCCCCTGCCAGTCTAGGCTATTTAGATGAATGAGACTGAGTTTCTTCCTACTCTCTAGATGGTTCCAGCTCCTTGGAATCAGGGATCTCACTTAGCTCTGCAGCTCCATTGCAGCTCCCAGAGTGGTTATAGGACTGCTATGTATAGCTGTGAATTTTGTAGACTGAGCAAGGTGGTCAGCTATGGAGTGAGTACAGGCAAAATGTGCAGGGCTCATTTACTAGCTATATACTATGGTAGAGACAGAGGGCTCAATCCCCTCAAAGGAAAGAGAAACATCGTGTTCACGCAAAAGCAACATCTATTAACCAAGTCTCATGGCCCTTGGTTGGCTACATTCTGAAGCGGCATCATTTGCTAAATTATCTGTCCAAACTGTTTGCCTTTTCCTTACTCATGAAAAGGGACAGCATAGGACAGCATTGAGGGAGTCACAATATAAATGGTTATTCAGCTGACCTTAATCAAAGAACCTGAAATCTGAATGTGCCTAAGACATGGCTGGCTACAAAACTCATGAAATAATAGACGCACAGTCTGAAGTTCAGGGAGTTATCTAACTTTCCAGGTGCTGTCCAACTACTGTACTTAGTAGCCGAGATAGGATCAGAATGCAGTATGGATTCTGCATGGATCAGAGAGGGGGCATATTCCAAGATTCTCAATGGATGCCTGAAATCAAGGACAGTATCAAGCTCTATAGATGCTACGCTCTCTCCTACTGAGACACACCTATGGTAAATTTCTACTGATATATTAGGCATAGTAAGATTAATAATGGATGATAATAAAATAAAACAATTATAATAATATAGTGTAATATAAGTTATGCTAATGTGTTGCCTCTCTTAAAACACAGAATTTCCCATGAAATATTTTGGGACTGTGATTCATCACAGGTAATCAAACAGTGGAAAGCAAAACCATGGATAAAGGCTTCAAATAAACAAATACTTGTTGAACACCAAAGGTCCAGAAAACCCAAGCCATACTTTCTGCTATTTTCCCCAACAGAGTGAACTTTCACCTATTTTCCTTTGTAAAAATTGTCTAAAATTAAATGTTAAAAATTGCCTTGGAATCCTGAATATGTTTTGACATCATCAGGCCTAACATGCTCTAACATGTAACAAAACAGAATGTAGAAGTAGGATTCAGATAACAGTGAGAATGAATCCATCACTGTATTTTCTTAGTGAAAACAGAATAAAATAGTCAAAAGGCCAGGACATGACTTCTCAGTCACAAGGGGCTCAATTTCAAAGATTTCTCCTTCCATAGGATAGGGGCAATTCTCTTTAGCTGACAAATTCCAACAGCTACTACATTTTAGTAAATTTAATACATAGATTGACCACATACCTTGACTACTGAGGTGATGTTACAGTGGATGAGACTCTGTAATAAACAACCACAACCAAGAATCAGCCTGACTGTTAGAGAAATTGTTTTGGGAAATATTCAGTGCTAATGAACCATAAAGTGGGCCAAAGCTTGTGGCTGCATGGTTCCATCTCTTACTTGGCCTGCAAATTAGTCTCCTGATTGACTTTTTTTTTTTCAACCAGGGATGCACTAGAATTGGAAAACATATACATATATGCAATCTTGAATAAGTCAATTAAAAGGTTCTTTGAACATGTAGGGAGGAATAGAACCAGCTTTTTAAAGGAAAATACCAAGAGTTCCTGACTTATGGTGGCTTGACTTTGTGGTAGTGCAAAAGCAATGTGTATACAGTGGAAATCGTGCTTTAAATGTTAAATTCGAATCTCTTCTAGGGCCAGTGATGTGCAAGGTCACACTGCTCTCAATGCTAGACAGCAGAAACAAGGTGCAGCTACAGTCAGCCCCCTCACCACTAAGGGAACCGCTGACATGCTGCAGTGTGCAGTGTGCTGCTATGCGAGGTGGGAGTAGGTTAGGTGTATTAAATGCATTTTTGACTTATGTTATTTTCAACTTATGATGGGCTTATTGGGATGAACTCCATCTAAGTCAAGGAGCAGTATCAGCTGGAGGAAGAAGGGCTGCCATATGTGGGCCTAAGAGACAATATCACAGAGGGTAGAAATGTGAGTAGTATGATAGAAGATAAAGGTTCTGGGCTATATAGGACAGTTAAATAAATAAACAAACTAGAATCTTCCAAGACACAGAGACACAGACACAAGCACAGATGTGATCAGAAAAAGACACCGTAACAGAACTCGCAGAAAACAAGTGAGGAAAGCAGAGACAACAGGGCTGACGTGGTCCAGAGACAAGTTGGGTGAGGGTGTGCAGCAATGTCCCAGGGACCTAGCACAGAAGACCTAAGGCCAAAAGGGGCTCTGGGAGCTCTGGGACTGGGGAGAGAAAGCCTGACGGCCCATTCCAAATGGCAGAACCCCCTGGCTTCAAAGGTCAGGGTCCTGGGAAAGGCTGATAAATAGAGCCTCTGGGGACTGTTACATGCTCAAAAACTGCTCATGGCCACCAATGCCAGTTGTGGGTCTGAGCAAAGCTGTCTGAATTTTTAATCCCTCCCACCCAAGAGTCTGTGTCACGTACATTCAGCCCTCCGTACTGCAGGCTCCATACCCTTGGATCCAATCAACTATACATGGATCAAAATTATTTTTTTTGAAAATTGCATCTGTACTGGAAATACACAGGGTTTTTGTCATTATTCTCTAAATACAGTAAAACAACCATTTACATGACATTTGCATTGTATTAGGTATCATAAGTAACCTACAGGTGATCTAAAGTACACAAGAAGGGCCAGGGATTTAGCTCAGTGGTTTTGCCGCTTGCTGTGCAAGCTCAAGGAACTGAGTTTGATCCCTGGTACCAAAAACAAAAATAAAATAAAATAAAGTACACAGGAAGATGTGCCCAGGTTCTATGCTTTTTACCTACAGGATTTAAAGTTCACAGGAAGATGTGCCCAGGTTCTATGCATTGTACTTAAGGGACTTGAGCATCCACAGATTTAGGTATCAACAGGAATCCTAGAAGTAGTTCCCTTGGATGCTGAGGATGACTGTTTCTTCTTCACAAAAAAAAAAAAATTAAATAAATCTTCTTTGCTTAGGAAGACAGACAAAGCCAAAGAGCTGGACTGTTCCCATGCACACTCATAGCAATAAATTCATTGAGCAGGATTTCCCTTCTATCAAGCAGAGTGCAAAGCCCCCCAAATGGGACAATGGGCAGAAAAGTTCTGATGTGCAGAGAAGGGGGAAGATGTCCTTATTCAAGAGATAGTCATGAAAAGATGTCCTTGACTATGACATTAATTACTAAGGTGAAAATAAAGGGAGATTTCAAGATAGTCACCATACAATAGAGAATGTGCTTCCTGTCATTCCTTCTCCAGTCCTAATAATCATGTCGCCCCAGAGGCCAGTACCTGTGCTAGAGGAAACCATATTCAGAAGAGCTCAAGCCTACCTGGATTCTATCAGATGTAGTAAGGAAATGGCTCGGGACATGGCTTGGAATCATTCCAACATTATTGACTGATAGAAAGGGACAAAACAAAAATGTATCAGAAGAGTAGGTAGGAAATTTTCCTAAAGAAGCATGTACAAAAAATTTATATACAAGGTCATTCACTGCAACATAATTTAATAACTATGAGGAAATTGTAGGGAGCAATTATACATAATTTTGGGGAAAAATCATGTCACAATTAAATTATGATTAGGCCTAGTTTTCCTGTCTACAGACCAGCTATGGCATGTCAAGACATAACTCCATTCTTGCCTCTGGTCACAGCTGAGACCTCAATGTCCCATGCTGCTATGATACTCAAGGGCAAGATTATAACAGCTAAAGACATCTTGCTTCCTTGAGAACCAAGTAGTAAGAGAAAGGTTTCACCTGGGGAGGGGCAAATTTCTTATCAACTTAATTCCTCCCACCTACTATTGTATGAATGCTCTGCTTACAGTCCTCCTCAACATTAGACTATCCTGGGCTGGGGATTTAGCTCAGTGGTTCCGGTGCCTGCCTCGCTAAGTGCAAGGTCCCGAGTTCGATCCCCCTCATACCAAAAAAAAAAAAAAAAGAATATCCTAACCTAAGACCTTCATCAGCATAAGATCCTTATCTACATAGGATTATCTCCACCCTCAAGTCACCTGATACTTTCTCCAATCATTATGTGTACCCAATAAAATGTCTAACTCAGAGTCTTTGTCTTTGCCCACTCTGAGGCACTGACCTCCCAGATCCCCATATACTTTGAAAATAAGCAAGTCTCTATTGTCTTTTTTTTTTAGCCCTTGCCATCCCCCTTTCTAGGCAGTTGGAGGATTGATCGCCCTCCAAAGGAAATGAGGTAGAAAAAAATGATTTTCCAAAAATAGGAAACTCATTTAATAAATCATGGTATGTCGGCATACAATTAAAAACTATAGCTCCTTGGAATTTTAAAGGTATAGGAAAACATGTGATATCAGTTTTTAAGTATAAAACAATATGTACATATAATTCCATTTTGAAAATATGTGTGTATATATGTTAAAAGTGCTATTTCCAATTTTGGAGATTTTTAAAAATTCATATTTCTTTTATGTGTCTATTTTCTCAAATTTTTCTACAGTAATATATTTTACATTTTTATTTGTGAATATGTAATGTTTTTAATTCAACAAGTTTAAAAATGCTTTCAAATCTTACTTTCTTCTATATATAATACAAACACCATACAGTGCATGTGGTTATAAAATACCTTATCTATAAGTCATTACAGGGAAAATAATTTTTTCCTGAGTAAGAAAGTCAATTCTTACATCACCACACTGACTCTCTATGTCATGGATTAATGAGACGTGTTGGTTTGCTAAACTAATTCCTTTGGGCCAATTTCTGGGATCACTCTTCCTGCCAAATGGTCAACATCAGTTCTATGAAAAAAAAATTCACTTTAATATTGTAAAATATCATTTGGAAGGTTGGAATATATATTTAATACATTCCAAAACCATATATAAATTTTTAATCCCCAAATTTCTCTTGAACAATTTAGTTTTAATATTCAGTTTAATGCTGCAACTTAAAATACAATCAAGGGTTAAAATCAAGCTACCATGAAATAATCAAGCATCACTAAGATAATTATTTCAACAAACTTTGCATTTTGCAATTTACTTACCTAACACTCCGATTTCTAAACCTTTAAGGTTTTCTTTAATATAGTCATAGATGTCATCTTTGGTAAAATCTGTTTGTATAATCTTCACATTTCTCCCTGTAGTCTTCTCTGCATTAGAGACAACAAGTATTTCTTGATGAACAAGGGTATAAATCCCCCTCTTGACCATGAGGTTCCCTGATGCTAACTGTACTACCTACTACTACCTTTGTATTTCCAACTTACTACAGTGAGAAGTACATGCATTAAAACAGATTTAGTGCAGTGGTTCCCAAAGTGGGGACTACAGCTCCACTGGGAAACTTGTTATAAATGCAAATTCTGATCTCCACTACAGACCCACTAAATAGGCCCAGCCATGCATCTGAAAAGGTCTCCAGGTGTCCCTGGACATGCTCAGGTTTGAGACCTCTGGGCTAAGGGCTGCCTCTGCTTGGTAAGGGCACACACATACCAATCCATGTGTTTGTCCAGCACTGAGGCTGGACACATGCACAACTGCATGTCATAATCCTCTCTACCACCTTATGAAGTAGAGAGTATCACTTCTGTTTTCCAGAGCAGAAAAGTAAGCCTCAGAGAAGTCAACTAACTGCCCCAGAGCACTCGCACTCTGCTCACTCTAAATCTACTGCTCTTTCTACCAGTCTGTTACAGTGCCACAGGCAGGAGTTTGGGGGCAGATATAAAAGCAGAGTTTACCAATTCCTTGGTGTTTTGCTTTAACTTTGTAGTTAGATCCAATATTTCTGCATCAAGCAATCATGAGGCATAATTTGGGAGTTTGAGCTGCTTTGAATGCAAAACCAGGACTTACTTCTCAAAAGGATGATTGAAAAAAGCACAATTTAGCATTGTAAGAAAAATCTTCAAGAATTGATCTTACTAGTACTACTTCGCATATCCAGACAAAACAAAAGAGTTCATCAGTTCAAGAGTACTGAACTGCCATGATGTGACCCTATACCTCTCACATCCATCTCCTATCTCAAATCCTCCTAGAGAAGTAAGGCTCATTCCAGAAGGCCTGCAATGATCTTCTGGATTCTTCATAATCACTCATCCCTTTGAGTTAAAAAAAAAACTTACTAATTGCCAATGATTATTAAAGTTCAAATATCCAAAAAGAAATATGGTCAATGTTAACTAAGAACACTTCCAGGAAAATACTCATAATAGCACATTATAGTATTAAAGCTACCTCTTAGGGTTTTATGGTATACAACTTCTGCAACCATATGTGGCAGCTGTAGATCGGACCTTTTTAAAAAATCTGATGACCACCAGTAAGCACTAACCTTCACCTCCTGACATAGGGGATTGAAGGCCCACACACAAATCCTACTTTGAAAAGGAGTAGAAGTTATCAGACAGCTTGGGTATCCAGATGAGCAGGGCTGATTCTAAAGATGTAGGTGCAGGATCAAAGGAGAAAGTGGACCTATTTAGTGGACCTGAGGCTCTTCCTGCCTTGAAGAATCCTAGATCACAGAACCTATAGTGGGCTAAAGTCTGCACCTCAAACATTACCCTTCAGTTTGTAAACAAGGCTCCCCTTGGGACAGGTGGTACCCCAGGCTCCCAACAGCAGAGCAAGGATGGCAGATCAGGACAGGGGCAGGCTAGACTGGTGGTTCCCTGAACATCTCCCTTATTTGAAACAGGATGGGGATAACTCACCAATCTCAGTGGCAATGGTCTGGAGTTTTTCTAGCGTCCGGCTGATAAGTATAACATTGAGTCCTTGTCTTGCTAGCTGGCAGGGGGAGAGCAAAAAAACCCAAAAACAATAAAGAAACTACACAGGCAGAGAGGCTTGCTCCACAGGTGAACAAATGGGTCTCTAAGTGTTGCCCTTGGTTGTAGGGTGAGGTGCCTGCTCCATCAGGGCTGGACCCATGCAGAATAGGACAAAGGTTGCCAAGCTATGAACAAAATAGCCATAAGGGACTGGGCCACAGGTGACAGCATAGTCTTTAGTGCATGTCATGTGTTTACTATGTACCAGGAACTATTCTAGGTACTGTTCTTTACACACCCATGATCTGAAAGCCCCTTATCCAAAACACATTGGATTTGCTGTGTGTCCAACTCATCTATTGCAGACTATATACTATATACAGTCAGCCTTCCCATGGCTCCACATCCATAAATTCAACCAATCACAGACTGGAAATGTCCGGGGGGTGGTATCTCTACTGAATATGTCCAGCAGGGTTTTTGTTTCTTGTCATTTTTCCTTAAACAATACAATATAAGACTATTTACAAGGCATTTCTGTCATATTAGGTGTTATAACTGAATGATTTCAGATGTACAAAGGATGTATGTAGATAAGCAGAGAGAGAGCGCTGTGCCGTTTTATATGAGTGACCTGAGCACCTGTGGACTTTGGTGTGTCTGCAGAGACCCATGATAAAAACAGCATTTCTGCAGGCATTTGAGCTCCTTCTTATTCACCAAAACATTTTTCTGGTGAATCACTTGACAGGGGAACTTTCTTATTTTGTCTCCCAACAGAAAAGGAAATGGAATCGAAGGCCCAGGGTGAAGAGGTGGATGCTTCCCTGGCATCTTGGGCAATGCCTATGCCCAGGCTGAGCAATGTGCACATTGAAGTGGCCAGAGCAAGCGTGATTCCTTGGGCACATTTAAGTGTGCTATGCTGGGGAAAATTCTAAAATGTTACCAATGAGAAAAGTTAAAACTTTTTCCTGAAGAACAAAACAAAACAAACAAACAAAAAAATCAATACTCATTTAAATAGGTTGATGACATTTGAGTTTTAGTGACAAAGGCCTAGCTTATTGAAATCTTTTTCTATGGTTTTAGTCAAATGATTTATATTGTTACCTTTTTAATTGTGGCAAAAGACACATCTTTTCAAAAAAATTGTATTAGTACGTGTTTGCAGTACATTTATCGTGGGGAGTTGTACATGTACATAATGCCTCTTGGTTCTTTTTCTTTTTGTCCCCTCCCATCTCTCCTTTCTCCCTCTCACTCTTAGTCCCCTTCCCATTCACAAAACTTCTATTTCCATTTTTTCCTTCAATTCTCCTTCTTAAAAAAATCCCTTTACCCTTCCTTCCCTCCCCGCTTCATCTCTTCGTATTCTCATTCCCATTTGAAAATCATCTCCCTATTTACTATTATTTATCCTTTATTTTGCTCTTTATTTATACTTTGTTTCTCATGTAAGAGAAATCATGTGATATCTAAACTTGCATGTCTGATTTATTTCACTTAACATTATGATTTTGAAATGCATCCATTTACCTACAAATGTCTCAGGCTTATCCTATGGCAGTGTAGTATTCCCTTGCCTATAAATACCATATTTTCTTTATCCATTCATCTGTTGATGGTCATACAGGCTGCTTCCAAGATTTAGCTATTATAAATTGTGCTGCTATTGAAAGTATAAATAAAGATCAAAATGTATAATAGGTAATGTGAAATAGGAATAAAAGATCCAAAGGGGAAGGGAAAGTGAGAGGGGTAGGAGAAAAGAATAAATATGAGAAAAGGAAAAAATGGAAACAAAGTCTTTGTAAATAGGGAGGGGAGAGGGGTTGAAAGAAGGGCAGGGGAATGGAGAAAAGAAATAAGAACCAAGATATATTATGTAAAGGTACAAATTCCCAATAATGAATGTCAGCATATTGTATACCTAAAATGTATCAATAAACTTAATGAATTAAAAACAAAATAAATAAAATAAATTGTGCTGCTATAAACATGGATATGCATATATCACTGTAATATGACTAAGTCTTTCAGGGAAGATACCTAAAAAGGGAATAGTGGGTGAAATGGAATTTCTATTTTTAATTTTTGAGGACTCTCCATCCTGATTTCCATAGTGGTTGTCCTAGTTTACATTGCCAGCAATAGTGTAGAAGGGTTTCTTTTTCCCCACATCCTCAACAGCATTTGTGGTTCTCTAATTTCTTGATGATAGCCATTCTTTCTGGAGTAAGATGGCATCTCAGTGTTTTTATAATTTGCATTTCTCCAACAGCTAGTGATGCTGAACATTTTTTCATGTATTTATTGGCCATCTGTACTGCTTCTGAGAAGTGTTTGTTCATTTTATTTGCCCATTTTTATTAGGTCTTTTATTTTGGGGGGGTCTAATTTTTTTGAGTTCTTTATATAGTCTAGATGTCATTCCTCTGAGTAATGGCTGACAAAAATTTTTACCCATTCTGCAGGTTGTCTCTTCACTCTGTTGGTTGTTTTCTTTGATGTGCAGGAGCTTTTTAATTTGGTTTGATACCATTTTTTAATTCTCAATATTATTTCTTGTGCCACTGGGGTTCTGTTCAGAAAGTCCTTACCTATGCCTATGTCTTCAAGAGTATTACCTATTTTATCTTCCAGTAGATAAAGTGTTTCTCTTTTAACATTTAGATCTTTGTTCCATAAAATATCTTAACAAAAATATGGACTATTTCACAGATCTGGGTCATCCTTGGGGACCCATGCTAATCTCTGTCTTCACTCTTAGCAAATTTGCTGCCAAAACAAACATTTGCTGTGGTTTTAATAAAGAAATATAGGCCAGAGAAAGCAGAGAAGCAACTGAATTGTGGCTCAGACTACATGATCTCCAATAGCCACTAATTTACCCTTTAAACACCAATTCTCACCAAAACCATCCAAGTAAAAATCTCTGGAGTTGAAGCCTTAGCATTTATATCTTCTTCTACTATAATTTGTTAATACACATTACTGAACACACAAATACATTCTCATAAAAGATTCAAACAATACCAAGGGAAAAAATCCCCAATGCCCCCAGTCCCATCTCCCTACCCTTAAACCCTGCTGCCTTTTACAAGCTTGTTGATTCTTCTATAACTTTTTCTCTGCACTTATGGGCATAAATAGATACATATAGAAATAAAACTTTGCCTTGAAGGTTGTATTTCTTTTTATATTTTATGTGATACTCTATTGTCTCGCAATGCTCTTTGATAGTGGAAAAGACACATTCTCTTCCATTCACCTCTTTGAACAAGAAGCATTATTCATCCTTCCTGTTTAATTTCATTTGCAAAATTAGTCCCATGGCAACACATAGATGGTACGGCAACTGGGGGTGCCCTGCTGAACAGCCATTTACAAGTTAACAGACCTCACTGTGGAAGAAAGGGTATGAATCATGGTGTGCATTCCACTGTCTCTACCACCAATATCAGGCTTATTTATTGCCATTGTTACTTAAATTATTTGAGATAGAAAAAAATTCCACAAGTAATACTCAGGTTCAGTTCCTATTCCTACCACTTACACCTGTCTGCACAAATCAATTGTTCCACAGATGGGATAAGAGAATATATTAGGCAGTATGTGGCACTCACTGAGCTGGTCATAGAGGAAACACTATTACTTTATTTGTGATTCAAAGCTCTTTACCCAGATGCCTAGCTTGAGTTCCTTTTACTCGTTTTAATAGTTTATTAATGTTTAATGTTTGGCTTTTCACACAAACAATAGTCTTTTTTCCAGAGTCAGTTTTGTTCCCTCCTTATCAACATTTGGATATTTTTCTCCTCATTATCTTAGCTAACACCTGTTCCACATTAACCCACTGTTGTTGTGGCAAACTCATTTGTCTTGTGCTCTGCCCTCCAGGAACACTATCCATGTTTCCTACCATTTCTGGTAGATTTTTTGTTTTTATCAGTTAAAGAACACCTTCACTTATTTCTTTTTTCAAATTACAATTTTTATAAGCTGCTAGATTCAGTTTGCAAATATTGAACTTGGATCATAGCTCCTTGCTGCTCTCTCTGACCCCTTCTGGCATCTAAGTCATGCTAATCTGTCTGAATAGTTTATGAAATAATATGGGATGATCAACTCATCCCAGATCTTTTTAATTTTTTTTTTTTGGTTGTCTTGAGACAGGGTCTCAGTATGTAGTTCAGGCTGGCCTAATTGAAGAATAATTTTTCAACAGGGATAGGTGGTGGACATAGTTACCTAACATTTTTTTAATGTTTTGCATTGTGGTCAGTAAATGCAATGGTATGCCTTTTACTATTTGTATTGCAACACAATTTCCTTTGTAGCCTAATAAGAAGACAGCTTTTATGAACATTCCATATGTGTCTTTAAGGAATGTATATTTAATCTTTGTTGACTGCTCAGTTTTATAAACAGTTGTCTATTAAACTAAACTTGGGGCTTGACAATGAAAGAAAAATTAGGATGCAAAAAACATTTAAAGAATTTTCCCATATAAATTCCATTCCCTTCTTCTTATATGAGAAAATGAAAAAAAAGGAAACAAGGTCTATGTAAATGGGGAGGTGAGGACATGGGAGGGATTGAAGGGAGGACAGGGGAATGGGGAAAAAAATAAGAACCAAGATAGATTACATAAATACAAATACCCAATCATGAATGTCATTATATTGTATACCTAAAATATACCAATAAAATTAATAATAAAAAAAAGAATTTTCCCCGATGCAGTCAGGAGGCCATTAAGGGAGGACCTACATGCACCACTCCCCCTGCTGCCTGAGAGGGCAAACTTGGGTGAGCTGTGACTGCAGGTCACTGGACAGTTACATCGTGCCCAGTGACTCAAGATGCACATGGAGGTTGTTGGACTCTCGTTTTATGGACATTTTTACTCAGTACATACATTCTTTTCTACCTCTTTCTCTGCATCCCTTAGCCCCTGCACCTGTTCTCAAGTCCAAGTGAAGTTTTCCCACAAAAGAATTTTTACTGCTT